AAGGAGATGCTAGATATTCCCTGTTAAAAAGGGAGCAGTGGGATAGAAAGGAGGAGTAACAGGTCACAAGTAAGTCTGAAACCCAACCAGAGAAGTTACACTAAAAATATGAATCTTGAGAATAATCTTTGACTCCATATCATACTTTTGGTCACACTGGGACAAGATTTGGGCCCCCAAACCCTTGTCAAGCCGATGTCTGCTGACTGTTGCCCATGCTGCAGCTTTCAGAGATTAGGTTTGGGTACCTGCAGGTTTCCCAGGTTAGTATTGCACACTGGTAGATCTATAGTACTAAAGTCTCAGGGTCGGTCTTAACCTCAAGGTTTGTTGTGGAAACCTCACTCTTGGAGAAAAGTTTAGTTGGCCCCCAAGACTGTCTGAAGCATCATTTTATATTTAGGTGGAGACAGCTGTGACTTCACTACCCAGGCACTCATTATGCTTGCAAAATTAGCATCATGTGGCTACTAATAAGGCTTACTAGTTGTACCACAGGAGCACTGGTCCAAGCTGTGCCCAAGTGCACCTGAGCCATAGGTAGGGTACCCAAGGAGCACTGCACCAGAATTGGGGGAGCAGAGACTTGAGGACATCATGGGATGGCCTGTTGTGGAACTCCTTAGCTGACACAGGTTGTATGTTTTGCATTTAATCAACTCACGATATTGATTTCAATTGCACAGTGTAACTTCATTTACTCAGTGTATATCTAACTCATGTACTCACTAAATATTTATTGCACACTCTACTAAGTGTTTAATACATGGCAATGAATTATGTTTACTGTGGGAGACCAACCTTACACGTGACTGAATCACACTCCCCTGCTGAGTGCTGAGATGCTCAGTCACAGAAATGTGGCAGAGCTTTCCCCACCCTTCTTGTGTTCGGGGGTCAGTGTCTCGTGCATGGGTGTGTCTTGCTACAGCCCCATGGGTGAAGCTATGCTCACCTGTTCCTTTGTAATATAATTCCTTGCCCTGTTTAGGATAGAAACTTCCATGGAAGTGTCTTGTGTGTGTCCCCTTCTCTTACTGTGCTCTTGGGTGTTGCCTAACCAGGTGTCAGTCAACCTGCTGACAGTGGACATCATGAAGATACTCAGCCCCCTGAAACCTGACCCCTTGCCTCATTTGAACAGCTTCTCCTCAATAAAAGGGGTCAGCACGTGCTCTCACTCTCTCTCTCCCTGCAAACTCTTAAGGTCAGAGGAGCCGTCACAGCGACCCCAAAGAAAAAGCTATTCGTGTCTCTTGTGTGGTTATTTTGCACAGCCCAGTTAGCCCAGTTCAACTGGAGTGACCCCTGAGCCTTTTAGTCACGAGAACAGAAACCCGGCAATTTATAATTCCTACTTCCATAAAACTTGAACTCAAGTTCAAGGGTGATAAAGCATAAAAATCACAATACATATATGTCTGACATCAGGGAGTGTTATAAAAAGAAATAAACCAAAG